AAAAGTTTTTTCTCAGCAAGAGAAACAATAAGAGAGGTATAGGGAGCCTACATCATGGGAACAAATTTTTACTTCTCACACTTCAGATGGAGCCCTAATATCCAGAGTATACAAAGAACTCAAAAAAAATAAACAATAAGAAAACAAATAACCCAATCAACAAATGGGCCAAGGACCTGAACAGACACTTCTCAGAGGAGGACATACAATCAATCTTTTTGATGCTCAAATTATCATTGCAGGTTGGCTCCAGAGTTCTTTAGACATGACCTCATCAATCTTAGTAGTTTCCTTGCTTATATTAGCTTTTTATATTAAAAGCTAAGCTAGAACTATAGTGAGAAATAATAGTAGGCACCACAGTCTGAGCACTGGGTTATCACTGCTTCTAATGTTCTCAGTAGAAGCTCTAGATGAGATGTATTTTTTCAGTAAAAGCATAAAGGAGTTAGTAATGAAATTTTCAATTTAGTTAGGAATACTCAGCTTTTAATTTACTTGATTATTTTATATTCGTATCTCCTTTTTATTATTTTTTTGTAATTTTTACTTACGTTTAAAATCCTTGAGTCATAACTGAACTAACAGTTACTACTTTGTTTTATCCATATCTCTAATTTAAAAAGTTATAATACCAATATTACTAAGAACAATAAGACTACTGAACATAGTTCAAGCTTTCTTTGCAGTTGTTTTGACCTTAAAAATTTGTCCCAAAATAAATGAACAGGTCAAAACACTGTCAAGTCATGTGAAGTAATTCTTTCTGAGTGGTTACATCACCAACTTGATGTAGCRTTAAGCTCATTTTAGAGAAGGTTCTTCTCCTGACCCCCTCCCTACCCTCTCTTCCCCTTTAGATAACCATTTTTAGTGTTCTTTCATTTATCTTTCTTTGGCTTCCTTTTACCAATATAAGACAAATATATATATTTAATTTCCCTCTGATTTTCCTAAACAGAAAATGTTAAGGTTTTCTATACCTCACTTTTTCACTTAATATATCCTATGAAGATCACTCATCACATCATTCATATCAGGAGAGAGAACTCTTTGTCATTATTTATTTTTCAGATACAAAGCTTTCCATTTTGTGTCTATAACCATAGTTTATTCAACCAGTCCCTTCCAAGGAACAGTTGGGTTGTTTTCAATCTTCTGTTATTATAAATAAAGCTATAATGAATAACTTTGTTCATATGTCATTGTATAGTTTTGTAACTATATCTCAAGATAGATTCCACCAATTACTGTTTCATATGTAATTCTGTTAGTTACTATCAAATTCCTCTCCATAGGAGCTGTGTTATTTTATATTCTCATCAGTAGTAAGATCCTCCTAATACATTTATTGCCAGTTAATTCAGCCAAAGTTGGTTTCTGTTTCTTACAAGTAATAATTCTAATTGATACACTGGTATATTTTTCCATAGTACAATTGTGGAGGTCCTACTCCACTGTATATACTAAGCTTCCCTAATCATTATCTGTAAAGTTATCACATGATATTTTTATCGAACATATTCATATCTATTTTTCTGTCATTCTGATCTGAGTATCAGCTACAAAAAAAGAAGCAACGTGGCAAAGCTTCATAAAGCTATGAYATTTTTCTAGTCTGTCTTTTGAAAGCAATTTTATTTTTTCTTGGTTGAAAAATACTTTGCACTACATAATCTCTGTACTATCCAGCATGACATCTATTTTTAAATGAGGAGATTTTGGTTTACCTTATTTAATCAAGTTTAGAGAGGGGCTCCAGGATTGAGGGTTATAATACTCAAAATAATGCTGAACTTTTTTTTTCCCCCAAATTGGGGGGTCTTGATCCATCAATAGATCATGAAACAAATTTGGAGGGCTCTAAGTAACATCAAAGTCAAACAATTAAGTACAACAAATGGAAAATAAAGCATACTTCATATAGTAAGTAACATGAACACACACACACACACACACACACACACAGACACACACACAATATTACTATACAATGTGTTTCCCTTATTGTATATTATGGTCAAAAAAGGTTTGAGAAAAACCAATTCAGATTTAAACTCCTTATCCATACTGTCAACCATTTCAATAACAGATGGAAATCAGAATAAACACTCCTTATGAATGATTTTTAAGTAGTTATGACTAATTTTTAAAATTTTTCCAATTTTCTCCCACCTTTGAAATCAGGTAATGCCCGATCATCAACCAGCAGCATGGGCCTGACTTGCTTCTGCTCTACTAGACTTCTGGCTGCAGTCAGAGACGTGAATATTTCATCTTCGGAAATATCAAACTCCAGTTTTTTCAACCTTTCCAAAAGATCTTGCTTGCTTTCTTTGGTTGTATTGGTCACAAACCTAACAATTACAGAAGAACTGCGTAACCTGGAAAAGAAAAATTCAGGAGTCAATGGGAAAGTTTTAACATCCTCATGCCATAAAACCTTATAATTTGGTAGAACTGTGCCAAATGTCAGAAGTTAAAGGTTACTATTTTTATGGATAAAAAGTTCTTTAGTTTTTGTTTTTTCTTTTGCCTAGAAAGCTTATAAATTATCTAYATCCTGTGGGCAGTTATCACCTCTAAAAACAGCAAAGTCAGACAGAAAAGGTTACTTTTACCTTTTTTTGAGGCCTTCTGTACTTTGTATATACTGCAATGTTTAGTAAACAAGTGAAAAGCCACACTGTACTCAGTACAGTATAAGAGGTGAATGTTATTCAGTATAAGAGGTGAATGTTATCTTAGAGATTATCTACTGGTACAACCTTCTCTTTGTTAAAGAGAGAAAACTGAGGCCTAAGAAGTGACCTCTTAGCTTTATACAGCTAGGAAGCAAAAGGGCTGAGACAGGAATCTTCTGTGTCCTGGGACAATGATCACCTATATTAAGACAACAGATGCCTCAGGATTTTATTGGACACTGCCTAAGCCCTAATGAGTTATTAAATTTATAAACAGAAACTACCTGGACAACTCKAAAAGACATTCTTTTTTTATATATATCAAAAGAGGTTCTCCCCTTGAACAACCTACATGAAAGATTAATTTGATTCCATGGCTACTTTTGAAACAAACTGGCATGATTTCAGAGAAATAATTCATTTAGCCTTCTTTAAAAATGGAAAAATTTTTTCTTATTTTACAATGTTTCAATTCAAAAATCTAAAAATAATTTGAATTTAGTTTTAATTTAGAATTCTTTATTAACATCCTGTTGCTTTTTTATTTAAATCAATCCCCCAAAAGCCATAAGGCATGAAAGTACTAACCAAGCCAAATAAAGCAGAAAAGAGATTTCTATGTATTTGCCTAAAGAGCATTAAATACATTYATGATTACATAATTCACTGTAATCATGATTACCTCTATAACATCTGTGTGGCAGCTTTTCTACAAAACACATTAAATTTGGTGGTTTACTTTACAAAAGAAATTGATTACTTCTACATAGCTATTATCCTAAAAATGAGTAAGTATGAAATAACCACATCATTTTTAATGAGTTTCTTTAAAAAACTTTTACTAGTCCCTCAACTTTCTTTAGTCTATTTGTTTCTATAGAAACCAAACTGGCAGTACCAGTACAGTGACTTCTCCAGGAGGGAAACCTGCCAGTGCCTGTGACAGAATGTGTCGGCTCCTGCCTCWAAAGAATGGCAACACTCAGAGTTTACAGAGCTACTTTAGAAAAGTCACTGTTCACCAAAAATACTTCTTGCAGTCCAGAGCAGAAAGCTCATTTTTTAAAGCAGTAAGAGCTCTGTCCACAGGAGCAGATTCATCAACAGAGATCCATCTTTGTTCCCAGAAAGCCTGACTCTGAGCAAGAGCATGTCAAGCAGTGAGAGAGAATACAGCTGTGTGTCTGATTTCTTTGGGCTTTAAGCAATACACTCACTGTTCATCATTTTTCTACCTGTAAAATGTCATCATAACTCCTAACGAAATTGATACACAAATCTGTTTGTATTTCTTGGTTCTCCAAATGGAAAGTAACCTCTCTGGGAGAATACAAAGTCTTGTGTCAATCTTTTGCCTAACTCCTAGTGCTGTGATACTTGACATCAGATTTTCTGATTAACAGCATATAGTGAACATCTTAAGGTTGGAAAATGATAGGCACCAAATGCTAAGTATTGCTGATTTTGAAAACCTCCCTAATTTTTTTCTTTTAGGATGAAGATGCTTAATGCCAGTTATTTATTCTGTTTTGCTGGTATTTTTTTTCAGGATAACTAGAAGCAAACATACATATTCAGTTCACTTGAACATGCTTTTATTGTATATCCCATAGAATTCCAAGTCCCGTAATCAAAATTTATTTGAGCACATTCAATGTTAGATGTTAGGTAAAGCTAGAGGGGGCAGAAAATGCCTTGTATGTGAGTATGCTACATTTTGATTCCAGAATTTATTTGTGACTTTTCTAATGCTACTTATTTCACATTTTAGAAACTTGAGTTTTCATTCCTGAATTTACATTACTGACTTAGAAAGATACACACAAAGAACAAAGGGACTACAGCAAAAGTCCAGACCTAATAAAGGGTTAGACAATGATGTTCAAAGGATATTACAATGCATACATCTTCTCACTAAACCCAAGGCAGTTCCTGGATATACGGTAAGCTGGTGAAATGCCATCTTAAGGCCATCCATTTAGCTAATGATCTGCCTTGGTAAAATGGCACTTACAAACATATTTGTCAGCTGAACCTGGAGGATAGCTTGCCTTTTAAGAGCTTCCTGTGCGCCTGGCACAGCTGCATCTTCAATGTGAAGTGTGCCATTGAGATCTACCAAAACAGCTTTTAATGCACGGCGAACTGCCATCATTCATTCCCTAGGAGAGAGCAAATGAAATTAAAAATACAGCTTCAGAAACAATGGACAATTAAAAACTGATAAGTCTTCAAAAATATCATTCACATCCAGAAAGATATTGCTTAGTGTTAAGCTGCTTGCCTTTGAAAAAGAAATGTTTTTAAAAATCAAAAACTCAAAATTTGATCCATAAAACTTGTGTAATGCTTACTTTAAAAAGGTTGAATTACATCTATAGAAAAAGAAATGATATAAGAGATATTATTGCTTACTTTCAGGTTTCTTAAAGTAATTCTTTGATGAATAATTATTTTAAAACATGAGAATGATATGTTTGTTCTGAAGAATGGGTGGTAGAAGTACGACTTCAACAAGACCTTCCTCATCATGAGTTATGTATAATTAAAAATATTCTAATTGCCCATCTCCACTGCTATGTCCCCAAATGGCACACGTGGCTAAGGTGCTACCAGTATTTACGGGTCACCAAGGAAGAAATTTCAAGTTTCATAGCAATTTTAAAGTAAGGAGATATTTTCATTGCCTTACAATCTACAACTTTCCTTTTGCATATTTTCCATTTAGATAATTTCTATTGTGAGCTACAGCATCTATAGAACATAAGATAAATGTGGTTTAAAGATAATAAAGTGTAGGCAAGAATAGCATGGGAGCTAATGAAAAAGGATGGGATTGATTTATACTTTTAAAAAACTAACCCATTTATTCAGTCATTTCTTTTTCTTATTTGGCTGTTTTTATAAGTATGTTACACATACCAAAAAATAGAAAGGATATTACAACAACCCCATTTCCCCATCATTCAGCTTCAGAAATGAGGCAGATAAAGCTGGGGTCTTCCCTATACCTCCTCTCACGCACTGCCATTCTTTCCCTTCCCACAGTAGCCACCCTCCTGACTTTTATATATTCAAAGCTTTATACTAAGGATACTCAGTGTACACTTGGCAACTTGCTTTATCACTCAACATTATCTTTGTGAGATGTGTATATGCTACCATACGTAGTTACATTCATATATTTTCACTGCTGTATGGTATTCTATTGTATAAATACACCCTAACTTATTTATCTGCTCTCCTAATCATGAACATTCAGGTAGTCTTATATACCACAAAGTGCATCTGTAAACACCCTTGCACACATCTCCTGGTGGACACACGCATGAGCATTTCTCTGCGGTCTTGCTGGATCTTAAGGTGGACCTCACCCTATTGTTAAGTTGCCTTATTCATTTGGATCCTTATAGGACAAATGTTTACTAAGCACTTACTATGTGTTTAGCTCTAGTATAATAGCAAAGCTAGAAGAGCCACCTCCTTTAAAATTAGAAGCAGAAGGAAAGGATTAAAGTCGGTTAGAAAAAACCTGGGAGGTGGAAGCAGACAATTACCAAAGATTTGGGAGAAATGTTCTGGGAAGAGTTGAGTAGTTTACAAAAGGAATCTTCCGTTGGGACAGWAGATCGGTGGGAGGAAGACCTCTCCTGCCCAACTCTCTCTCTCTGAGATGCGTTTGAGGGTTTGCAGCCAGCAGTTATCAGGACTAGGGATTGGCCAGGTTCTGCCTCAAATTAATTATTTGTGGWTGGCCAAGTTTACCCACTCTGGGCCTGTGATTCTCCTTATACAGGAACAAAGGCAGGATGAAGCTTTGAGCTTTACCTATTGCTTAGGAGTTCTGAGTTGGAAGAATCAAGGTGTGGCATAACTCCCCAAATCCCTAATTTTCTCCTCTTCAACACTGGTTTGCTAATCCCCTTAGGACCAACTTCCCAAGGCTGCCAGGAAAACTCCAGATCGAACTGTGCTATCCTTTGAAATAACTGTTTTCCCCTACATTCAGTCCTGTCAACTTAGAGGGATAGCAAAGATGACCCCTGATTTCTTCACAGCTTCTGGCTTTTAGCATTTCTGTTAAACATTGTCCCCAGACCCTGCTCCCATTCCAAGTCAGCCATCTCCCTCCAAACACAAAGAACAAACATACAAAATAAAACCACCGTCAACCTCAGAACAGAAGCAAACTGCTGGAAAGTACTGGCCAATGATTAGTATCATACTATACTCAACATTTTTTTTCTAAATAAATTAAACAACCACATGTTTAAGGTAAAACAAACTTTCAGACGGGAGAGTATTTTCATGACTTGAGGACAGGACAGGCTATTTAAAACAAGATGTAAAAGCAGAAACCATAAAGGAAAAGACATTTCCTTTATGTTTCAACTATGTTTCAACTATGTATAAACAGAATGTGAATGAAAATATTCAGAACAGTGTTTAACATGTAAGAAAGGACAAGACTCCAGGAAATACAAACTATAATTATAAAGAAAAGGACAAATGACCAGAGAGAAAAATGGAGTAAGACCTCAACATACACTTTATGAAAGAACACAACTGAGCTCTGTCTCTCTGCTTCCCCTCTGCTAAGGCTTTACATTTACATTTACGAAAGGAATCTTCCATTGGGACAGAACATGCTTTGCCCTTCTGCCATGATGTTTCTGCCTTGGAGCTGGCCATCATGGGCTGAATCATCTCACTGAAGCACAGAGCCTACTGGATGAATGTCCCTGTGTCCCAGTCAATAGGTCCAATGAAGGTCTTGGCTGATGGCCAGAACCAACCATCAATCACTAGATATATATATATGAGCTTCAGATGATTATAGCCCCAGCCATCAAACCACCAGCCCTAAGCAAGGTGGAATTGAGCAGAGTCAAGCTATCCCTGCTGAGTACTGCCCAAACTGCAGGCTCATGAGCAGAGGAAACAATAGCATTGTTTAAAGATAGCTTGGAGGTGATTTGTTTGTCGGCAATAGAGAAGGACAGTGCTCTGGGTGATTCCTTAGCTTGCTCTGAGAATCCAGTGTCTGGATAACTGTGTGAGGATCTGGGGGAGGCCAGAGGGCCAGATCCTAATAGTAGTGATGGCTTTGCATTTGGGGCAAGTTCTTATTGGTGTAGAGCATCTCTCAGGGGAATGTGGGGCAGAACAAATCTCATTAGTAAATAACATGAAGATGCTCAAAATTCACTYGTAATAAAGAGAAATGCATATTTAAAGCACAATGAGATCACCACACCTAACCAATAGACATGCAAAATTATTAAGTCTGAAAATACAACATATTGTCAACAGGAATTCACAGATCCTGTTACCATTATAAACATTTGGGAAATTAGTTTGGCAACACTAATACTCTACAACACAGCAATATTGTAATATCCACTTGTAATATCCACTCCCAGATATTACAAGTTTGAAGGACTCTCTCACTTAGTACCATGAGACAGAAACAAAATGTCCACAGCAGTACTGCTGGTAAACAGCCAGAAACTGGACACAACACTAATGTCTACCAGCAACAGAATGGGTAAATAAATTGTGGTACATCCATGTATAGAATACCAAAAGCAATGGAAATGAATGAAGTAAATTTACACACATCATCTTAGACAACTCTCAGAAATCAACCATAGAATATGTCACAAAAYGATTCACATGGTATGGTTTCCTATAATATTAAAAAATAGGGATGAACAGATAGGCAATAACATTTAAAAAAAGAAGGAAATGAGTATCAAAAAGTTAAGATAGTGACTTTCTCTGGGAGACGGGGAGCAAGTGCAAACCAGGAGGAGTACAAAGAGACCCTCTAAGGTCTGACAATGTTTTACATTTCAATCTTTATAGTGAGCGCATAGGTGTTTTTAATTTTACTATAATTATTAAAAATTACAGCTATAGATTAGATACTTTTGTATAGATGATATATATTTCACACAAAAAATAGTCTTATTATGTTTTAGTCAATCATTTCTATATTTACATAACTGTATTATAAAAATTAGTCTGGACAATTATTATACACTTGGCATAAAAAACTCCCACTCTCAAGTCATTGTGAATTTTAAGAAAAACCCTGATTCTACTTGTCTTTTATGTCTCTGCTGAAAAAGAAAAAAAAAAAGTGCTGAGACCAAAAAAAAAAAAAAAGATATAGGAGCTTTAGTTAATCAAGTTTCAACTACAAAATCATCCCTTTTACAATAGTCCTTAGGTTATTCTATTCATGATCTTTATTGTGACCTTGAAATCAAGGATTATATCAACAATGGCATCAACTGTTTCCTGCCTGAGTGGGGAAACAGCTTGCAAGTCAAAAGCCAAGACTGTTTCCAGGGTCTTCATTTGGATGTTTATCAGTTAAAGGGTTCTTCAATTTAAAATATGCTAATTGCACCACAGAAAAAGATGAACAAAATGAAGACATAGCACTGTCATTTCATATAAGGAGGAACATAAAATTGCTTTTCTCAAAACCCAACTTTTATGAAACACTTAATATTCAATAAAAACTTTTTTATTGAAACACCTAAAAGGTGCTATAAAATCACCCAAAAGTGAATAAAAGAACAAAATAGAAACAAGACTRAAAAATAACAGTAAGAATTATACTTTATTAAAATAAAGATCCAAACTGTCCAACTACTGCCAGGGAACTGTCCTAATAAATTCTGATAGTTTTAATCCTTACTAAAAGCATTCACATAGGCATAATGTTTCCAAAACATTAAAAAAAAAAAAAGGCCTATGTTCTTTGTCAGTCCCAAAGATCATTCTTTTTAAACTCTAAAATGGCTCTTTTGAAACATCACATATTTGACAGTGATTGACCAAGACCTAGAACAAAACTCTGGTATACCACTCRAACTTCAAAATTCATTTACTTTTCTAGGTGATCTCACTAGCTCTCAACCATTTCCTCCATGATCTGTATTCTCAGCCAAACCATTGTTAATACTCATTACCTGAACCATGAATCAGTGTTTGGTAAAATATATAATTATGCTTCAGTATCCCCAGGGAATTGGTTCCAAAGTCAACAGAAAGCTCAAGTCCCATATATAAATTGGTATATAGTATCTGCACACAACCTATGCACATCTTCCTGCATAATTTAAATCATCTCTTGATTACTTGTAATACTTAATACCATGTAAATAGTTGTTATATTGTTTAGGGAGTAATGACAAGAAAAAGTCTATATGTATTCAGTACAGTTTTTTTTTTTTTTTTTTTTTGCGGGGGGCGGAGAAGAATTTTGTTCTGTGGTCAACTGAATGTGTGGTTTCATAACCTGCAGATATGGAGGGTCACCTCTTAATTATAAAATATCAGGATTATCCTCAAAAGAATTATGAAGGTTTCAAAGGCAGTCCATGTTTTTCATTTCTCTTGGGTCTACATCTACCACTTCCCATAGTTTGAATGAATTGTATGGAACATCCCTTAGAAGAGCCATAAACAACTGATGGTACCTTCTCAATGCAAAGAAAAGTGTATTCCCTTCATCCCAAGAGGAACTCTTCCAGGTACTTCAGAGGACAGCTGTCCCTTGTATATCCCAAGGGCATCTTAATCCAACAAAGCTGCTTTCGTTTTCCTGCAATCTCTATGAGCAAATGACAGCACCAGCAATCCAACACCAAATCACTTCAGTCTTGAATCTACTTACTCTTCATCATCTTTACTAAAACTACCTCAGGTTTGAAATCATCTCTTGTCTAACCTGTCAACTTCCTAATGTTTTCTGTTTTCCATCTCCTATTTCCAGCCATGAATCCATTCCCTGGAATGCAATAGTGTAGCAAAGTACAAGAACAAGGGAGGTAAACTCCTGGGTATGAATCCTGACTCTCTAGCTATGTGAACTTAGGCAATTTCCTTAATCTCTCAGCCTGTTTCTTTATTGCTAACATAGAAAAACACCTCCAATAACTGAAGAGTATTATAGAAATTAATCCCTGTAAATTACTGTCAACAGTGTTCCATGCTTAGAAAAGGGTGGGTTATGTTTTTGGGGGGTAGCAGAGGAAAAGCACATGATGATGTTTCAAGGGCTACAAAAATCACAGAATAAATATAATGCAAGGTCTGAGAGCATTAGTACAACCTGAGAATTCCAGAGGACATCAATATAATATGTTCAGGGGCATATAATTCAAAATTTGTGTAAATACTTAAGATAAAACAAGAAATTTTAAGAAAAATATTCTCTTGGGAGGTTGATGCTCTTCAGAATATGCCTCCTAGATGCTCTAGGGAGTAAAAATTCTCTTTTCTTCCCTGTATGGTACACAAAAGCCTAGAATCACTGTAATCAGTAAATGTCCTGTTATTCAGTTACTCCCCAGTTCACTCTTCCAGTCACTCCCTAATGCCCTCAGGCTAAAGTGTGAACAGCAGACACTGGAGCACAGAGTCCTCTTCTCCAATTCACTTATCTACTTCCACACCCAGGTTCCATGGCACTGTAATTGGGGTCCACTTTATGTTCTGAGTTAAAAACCTTGCTGCTCAACCTTGGGTGACTTATTTTAAAACTGATTTTACTTTTTCTTCTTCCCCCTCCCCTTCCCCAGCAGTTGGGGAAAACAAGACTAACATTTTTCCCACCCAGGCTACAATGTTCTTTGCTGCCTGGAAAGTGTCACTGCCCACAAGAATAAAGAAACTCCAAACCTGGGAACTGGAACAAAGGCTCTCTCAAGGATACCTGATGGACACTAATTAACTACATATCTACTGATAACATTTAGATCCCGGTCATTGTGTTTCTCTTTTAAAAGCCCTGTGTTCCCACTGACAGGGAGACTCAGTCTCTGGGAGGCCCCGCCTTTCCTCTTTGCTGGCAAATCAATACATCTTTTTCTTTTCTTTCAAACTCTTGTTGTAATTGGATTGACACCGGAGACTCGGAGACTTTCGGGTATCTGCAGTGCACCTCCCCCATCAATGGACTTTTATCTGAAATCACTTTTACTCCCTAAATACTACCACTCCTACCCCACTCCATCCTCCTTTCCCTCTGGTTAATTCCTTTTCTTCTGGGTAGGGTTAGGTGCTGCAAATGGTCCCACTGTCAGCATCATTCTATCCTGGYTATCTGCCTGGCCCTCTCCTAAACTGTGAGCTCTGCACAAAGGGACTATGTTGCCATTTCCACTGCATCATTTAACGCTCAATAAAAGTGGACTGAATTCATGAATCTAATCTTCGGAGCTGTAAGGACCTACGACTGGATCCTCCAGTACGAACCAACATCGATACCCCGCGCCCCGTCCCCAATCCCCGTCTCCTGCAGGGAAGGCGCTTCAAGCCCCTCCACCGCAGTCACCACCGGGTGGGAGACGCCGCGCACTGCACGTGCCTGAACCGCGCACGCGCAGACTGCCGCGACCGAGGGGCCGCTGCCACCGGGTGTGACRTCCTCCCAGGTCGGGCGCGCAGTTTGGGTTGGGCCCGGCCTGGAGGGAGGGTAGTGGTCTAAAGACGCCGTCGGTATTTTCCCAACCCTGTCACAAGAAATGCCTCTTCCAACAGGCGTGCCGCCACCGTTCCTAATTCCACTTCTTTCTCTTCCGTTCCGAGCAGCTCCTCACCCCCACTCCGCGTGCGGTCGTCAAGAGCCAACCCAGCCGCACAGACGAAGGGCACCGCAACCCGTCTCACGCGCCAGCAGCCGCCCAGGGGACACCGGACACTGGGCGCGGGCCGCGCCGGAAGTCCCGCCCCGGGCTCCTCCCATCCGGTTGGGGCTCTGGGCCTGAGACTCCCACTGTCGGGGGTCTACACCAAACCGCGCCCGGGGAAGAGGGGACGTTGTTTTAAGGGTCCGCTCCGGCAGGGGCGCGGCCGGTTGGGTCCGGATGCACCACGGAAAACAAAACCTCTGCCTTTGCTCAGGAGCCGTTTTCCATCTCACAGACCATTGCTAACCAAGTATTATTGGGTAACAGTCTCTGCTTGCTTCATTTCTTGTGCATTCCCGAGGGCTAACTCAGAACTCGCCTGCTAGACACTTTCCATGAAACATCCAGTGTCCAAGTTGTCACTTCCTCCTTTGCTACTTGAACAGCATCTGGCATTTATTGCTGTCTCCATTACCCACCATCACAGGCAAGACACCAACCATTGTTTCCCACACCAGCCATTCTRTAACCTTGCTGGCAGCTTTCTCACCCTTCTGCTTTCTCTCCTCGGGCTTCACCTGCCTGTTCGCAGGGGAGCAAGATTTCAGAGGTAAAACAGAAATTTGTGATACGTTAGATTGGGGGTAAGGGAGAGGAARGCCTTAAAATAATCTCTAGGTTCCAGGCTTGAGCACTCAAGTAAACTGTGGGGTCACTGACTATATTATCTGGACTTAACTGCTTCCTCTTCAAAAGGCTTTTCTTGTCAAAGGGCAAGATGAGCAATGAAAGGATGGSACCTCAAAAAGGAAAGGCTAAATTTGGAAAAGGGATGGGGCAAAAACCCCAAAGGAGTGGAGACATAAAGCAGTATACGAGCCGGGCATGGTAGCACACGCCTGTAATCCCAGTGGCACGGGAGGCTGAGACAGGATGATTGTGAGTTCAAAGCCAGCCTCAGCAATGGCGAGGCACTAAGCAACTCAATGAGACCCTGTCTCTAAATAAAATACAAAATGGGGCTGGGGACATAGCTCAGTGGTCAAGTGCTCCTGAGTTCAATCCCCATTACCCTAAAAAGCAAAAACGAAACAGTATATGAACTACAGTAAAAAACAGTATGATTCCAAAACTTATCTTGATCATTATTAATACCCTTGGACATAGTCCATGGTGTCCCAGGTCATTGCAAATAATGTTTTCATAACATGATATCAAATGAACAATTGGAGCAAGGGAATTTTTGGTAAAACAGTTATATTGTTGCATAACAAAACTATTTTGGTAATAACCTTTAAACTAATAAATCAATGAGAAAGTGATTTACTTCACCAAAACCATTTTACTTCGGGTGGACATCTCTTTATCTTTCACTGAAGATATCAAAGATTGGTCAAAAAAATTGGTCACAAATTTTTCCCCATATGTGGGTCCAGCTGCTGTTCAGAAAGCAAATTTAAAGATGAGGCAACCCTTAAATTACTGAGATCTTAGAAAGTCTGTTTGCATTGAGTGAAATGGTAAAAAGGTTTTGCTTGGCATTAGTAATATCCTATTATTTTTTTTACTATTCACATATATTGTTTTCTCTCATTTTGAGTGCATACACATATAAACCCAAGTGACTGCCTGTACCTATTGAACACAGACCACATTTTCTACTCCTGATAGATCTAAAGCTAGAATTTAAAAAAATACTTTTAGCCGTATTTTTGAGAATTTAGAATTTTGGAGAATATCTTGAGAAGCTTGGAAGGAAGAGGGGGCTAAACAGTGGGCCTTTGGAACCCAGCCCAACTTCAACTAAAAATGGGTCTGCCTTCATGTTTTAAATATTATAGTTCTATTTTGGAATTTCTTTGTAAATCTGATTCTGCTGTTTATAACCAAAATTTGAAAACTGTACTTGATTAAGGATTAGGGTATAGATTTTATTAGTATCTACAGAGTAGAGCCAAGGCTCTTCAGATAGTTCAGAGGCACAAAGACATAAGGCCTGAACACATAAAGACCACAAACATGATATTTGGAGTTCAGAATGATCACAAATTTGTTAATCCTGAGATAAGGGGGAAGATATAAGCAGGCAATCAGGCACTTAAGTTAGTCTACTAAAATAAGATCCTATGGTTTCTGAATTCTAATTGCTCGGGAAAATCAGGACCACTACCTGAAAGTATGTTGATTTCCCTTTGGCCACATTAAAACTGGGATTGTATAAGTGGCTTCCAGAGGTGAAATATTTTGATGTCCAGTACTTTACTTTCAACTACTTTGCTGCAGAATACTCAGACCCTGCCTTGCCATGATTGCTCCTCAGTGGAGTGAGGACTTGGGTAATATCCTGACACTAAATTAACAGGAAGGTGTGTTGTAATGTCTTACATGAAAAACAGCATCAGACCAAAGTCTCTTTCTCTTTTAAATAAAATTTGTATGATTCATGGTATGTGGAAAATGGGAATCCCTTCAACTGATTTTTAAAAAATCTTTTTAGAGGCTCAAATTTGACTCATACACCAATTCTTTGTTAAGCTGAAAGAACATCACCTCTAAATATCAAATATTTAGTTATTTATATGAAGTAAGTATCAACTAACATTCCTTGGTAGATTTTCTTGGTCCAGCTGCAGGGCCACATTCCAAACTAAAGATCATCCATCTCTAATTCAGGTGTCACTAATAGGTAATTCAATACCACCTGCTCTATGGAGCAGGTTTTGGAAATAACTTAAATCATGGAGTAATACCCATTAGACCTGGAGATTTATGCCAGCAATTCAGTTAATTCACCAAAGGAAAAAAAATGGATTTTGAGTGTTTACTTTCATTAAGTCTACACTCAGCAAAAAACATTTAAGAGATATTACACACACACACACACACACAAAAAAAAAAAAAACAGATTAGTATAATTAATACTGACAGGCTTATGCTAAAATACAAAAACAAATGCTTGATTTGAAAATTCAACTTTATTTACAAAAGTTCTATCAACAAAGATGCCATTCCACCCCTTCAAAATAACTGATAATTTTCACAAAAACCATTTACATAGTTTAAACCTTTCTACATAAAACCATATTATGGGATAAGCAAACAACCTTACAAGATGATTCAAGACATATAAACAAAAAATAAAAAACAACATCTAGCATGAATGCTCTATTGACAGAATGAAGAATCAAGAATCACACTTTTTAATGTGCTGCTCCACCAAGAAATGGAAACATGATAATATTTTGGGAGGTAAAGGCTTCACAATAAACAATCTTCTTACATAGGATGGTTTAGTTGTGATTATTTAGGGTTGATATTGCAGGCTAATATTTATGCTGATTTTATAAAATAAGTCATCATCATTGTAAAAAGGGTACAGACATTTCTATACAGATTTTTCTACCAATGAAAATGCGGATACTGGCTTGATCTCATTATTCAGGCCAATTAATAAAATGCATAAAAAAAAACTTGAGACCACAATCATCAGGTGACTTACAAAATTAGAATTTTCCCTGAAATCAAAGAGTATTATCCTTTATAGTATGTATAAATTTTAATTCTTCATAACAAGACCATATAGACTATTTAACCAACAGTTTAAAATAAAATTATCCAAATTACTTATTTACCATTTACATGTGATAATTACTTAAAAATTCTTTAAATTTAATCTAGGGGGATAATTACTCTCACATCACAACTAAGTCACAAGGAACTTCAAAACTTTGGAAAAAAAATTCATCCCTGAGAAGTGAGAGAAAAACATCTAAAAACCCAAACAAACAACCCAGAGAGGGAGTCTTGTACCCTTTAAACAATTTTTACCATAGCACAAACTGTTATTAATAGCCAGTAATCAGATGTATTTCAATCTTGGACAGCTACCACCTCTGGTGACTTGATCTTTCTGTAATTAAACTGCAAGTGCAGTATTAAAAAAAAAAAAGTCAGATAAATAGAAACTCTGGTTTTATTTTAAATTTTACATTTGTCAAGTGAAATATCAACCTGCTAAGAAATGAATATTCTAGTAATGACTGAAATAATAACTTCACTGGCATCTCTTCTTCTGGGTCTCCATTTCTCCCATTGTTGTTCACCCAAATAATAAAAGCAGTACGATAGCAACTGAGTTTACTATTATCAATGGCACTGCAAAGGAAAAACAGAAGTTCATTACTATAAAGAAAAATCAGGAAAAAAATTGAGTAGCAGCAACTACTAAAAAAGGAAAGAAGGAAATACAATATGTCATCATTATCATGTTGTAAATAGTTATAAAAGAGAACATTAGCAAATGCACCATATTATAAAACTTCAAGCTTGTGTAATTGTTTTTTCTTAGGCAACCTAATAAGAAGCCAGTAACTTTCAAGAGTAAAGCTGGGTTAGAGAGAAAATMAAAAAATTCTACTACAAAAAGGGTATGCAATTCATACTCAGGAGCTTTGTTACTTAAACCACAAAATTAAAACTTCAAAATGCTCTTCAAGTCTTTCTTCTTACCTCGCATTACAGTTCTTACAGATCGAATCAGGTTCATTAGCTGAGATTTAATTCCTGGTTCCTCTCCGAATCCACCAATTCCCTGGTCCGTTCCCCAGCCAACTGTATAACATAAAGATGATTAACTATGTTAAAATTTATTATGGCTAACCTTGAACCCTCATTAGCCATCTTTTAAAAGATTAGTTTGAAGCTGGGTGTGGTGGTGCACACCTGTAATTCCAGCAACTTGGGAGGCTGAGGAAGGAGGATCACAAATTCAAAACTAGCCTTAGCAATTAGCAAGGCCTTTTCTACATAAAACCTTGCAACTGAGCAAGACCCTGTCTCAAAATAAAATATAAAAGGACTAGGGATGTGGCTCAGTGGTTAAGTGCCCCTGGGTTTCATCCCTGACACCAAARATGTTTTAAATTTAACTTCTTTCTTTCAGACAAGAAGTAGCTGAATGAGTWTTCTTCACTATGTGGCAATGCTCTTTTTGTAATCTAAGTCAAAGATGTAACATTGACCTTCAAGTACTTATAGCACGGTAAAAACTATTTCATGTTAGTCTTCCGAGTCATACATGCACATAAATGACTACTATCAGTTGTTCCATCTTCCTAACTATGTAACTGCTACAGGAAAATATCCATTAGAAAGGACAATGGGGTAATTTTCCAACTAGTTAATAGATTCACTCTTGTAAACCTAATATAAAAGTTCTGCACAATATGAAAGCACTAAGGTTCTGGTTAAATATGATGCATATGGACTTTATTCATATCTTTTTTTAGAAGTTCTACAAATAAATAGCAATAAAGAAACAAGATAACAAGTAAGAGTCTCCAGGCAAGTGAAATCAATCAAAATCAGAAAAAGAGTGACTGATTTAAGCAGAGAACACTGAAATCTAAACTCAGAGGAATACACAATGAAATAAATAGATAAACAAACAAACCAAAAAAACCCTGATATGACTCATTCTGAGAGCCCTGGAAAAGTGAGAAAACCCTAAAAATGTCAATGTGGGCACTGGGATAAAAATGAGGTTCACTGAGAGTTTATGTCAGAGCTGTTACATTCTGTTTCCCCTTCCTCTTCTCTTGTATATTCAGCKGAGACCCCGCCAGACCCTGCCATGATTTCTCCTCAGTAGAGTGAGGACTTGGGTAATGTCCTGACACTAAATTAACATGAAGGTGTGTTGTAATGTTTTACATGAAAAATGGCATCAGGCCAAAGTCTCTTTTCTCTTTTAAAATTTTGTATGACTCATGGCATGTGAAAAATGGGAATGCCTTCAACTGATTTTTAAAAAATCTTTTTAGAGGCTCAAATTTGACTCATACACCAATTCTTTATTAAGCTGAAAGAACATCATCTCTAAGTATGAAATATTTTAGTTATTTATATAAAGTAAGTATCAACTAACATTCCTTGGTAGATTTTTTTGGTCCAGCTGCAGGGCCAYATTCCAAACTAAAGATCATCCATCTCTAATTCAGGGGTCACCAACAAGTATTCAATACCACCTGCTCAATGGAGCAGGTTTTAGAAATAATTTAAGTCATGGAATAAATTTACCCATTAGACCTGGTGATTTATGCCAGCAATTCAGTTAATTAACCAAAGGGAAAAAAATGGATTTTGAGTGTTTACTTTCATTAAGTCTACACTCAGCAAAGAACACTTAAGAGATATTACACACAAAACAGAACATTCTGTTCCCCCTTCCTAATCTCTTGTATATTCAGCAGAGACCAAAACAGAAGCTCTAGACCTTGAGTATCTCAGAAAGGTATAAAAGAAGAAAGTCTGAAGACTAAAGTGTTAAGACACTGCTTATCTCTCAGGTAAGTCTGAATGTATAAGACTCACTTTCTGCAGGCAAGGAGCTAGAAAATCACTCTAGAAATTGGACAGCTACCCAGAAAGAAAGGCTTCAGGTACTGACACTTGAGAGGTTTCACCTCAGTGAAATAGCCAACTTCTTTGTTCAGATTTTGGTGATCATCTTCTTTGTTCATCAGTAAACAAGACCTGACCATACATGGAGCTTCCAACAAGTCTTCTATTGCCATACACTTAAAGGTGAACTCACAACTAAGAGGGAACCATTCTTAACATGCAAAGACAAAACAAACGGGGAAACAAAAAACAGAAAAGGAGACCAAGGAAGAGAGAATGAAGATGTAGAAGAAAACTTTAAAAAATAATATCCTTAGAGAAAAACTACTGTAACTAAGAAACAAGAATAAAATCCTGTAAAAAAAAGCAACATTTGGGGATCAAGAAGCAGCTCTGGCTGCATTAGGATACGTAGTTCAAAAGAAGGGATTGAAAGATCAAGTAGAATAATACAAAGCAAAATTAAAGAAAATTAGAGCATTGATCTGTCAAAATAATCAAAGTTCCAGAAGACAGAAGAAAACAACCTGAAACAACAATTAAAGAAATATTGACAGAAAATATTCCATAACTGAAGGACATGAACCTTTAGCCAAAAAGTTTCAATCAAAACACAAAACAATTTAAACAAACTCAAATTACTAAGATTTACCCCTTTAAGAATTCTCCCTACTGCTCTAGCTCACACAACTTTGACATTCTAAACTCTAGATGATTTACATTAATCTGAAGCACTTAGATCTTGAATCAAATAATAGCTTATGATATTTTAACCATTTGCTAGGCACTGAATTGGGTGTCTTACACTCCCCCTACACTTTTGTGTTGAAACTCTAAACCTCAATTTAACTGTATTTGGATACAGGGTCTTCAAAAAGGATAATCTAAGATGAAGTGAGGTCATAAGGGCGGGGTCCTAGTCCAATACATCAATAGTCTTACAGGMGAAAGACATCTCTGCCATGTAGGGGCTGACTACTGGCCAGGAGGAAGGCGCTCACCACAATTGGACCATGCTTGGACCCTGATCCTGAACTCCCAGCCTTCAGAACTGTCAGAAAATAAATTTCTGGGTTATGATATTTTGTTATGGCAGGCAGAACTGACCAATACACTGCTTAATATTTATTTTGAATTGTATGTAATCATATGTAACCTACGACTGGTTTTAGTAAATATTTGTCAAATTGATACCAAGCYCCACAAAACTCTAGTAAAAAACAATTTTTGCAGACATTAAAATCCACTGTTATTTTTTTCTTATTAATATTATTGTATAGAACTAGAAGAAACAATGCATTTCTGTGTACTATTACTAAAATACTGACTAAATTAGTTGTATAAATACATAGCCTTTAAATCTGGAATTGCTAAAATATGATAATATAAAGTTACTTGGTTATTCAGAAAACACCCATTGATTGATAGAACTATAAAGATAAAGAATCCTTCTCAGTCTACTAGAGGAGGCAGAAAAAAAACTGCATTGGTGCTGTGGCCCATGAAGTTAGGTCAGAGATGGTCTGTGGAAGAGGGAATGCCAAGAAGTAGTCTTGAAAGGACAGGCTGAGGAGTTGCCAGTTAAAAAAGAGGGTAAGTCACTGTAGACAGAGAATGTAGTATGAGTAAAGGCTCAGAAGTGAGGAAGAGCATCATGGGAAGAATGCTACATGGCAAATATCAGGGAGGGGAAAAGAGGGGGAAAGAGTGAGGAAGGGACACCCTGTGGAGGGATTGTAAATCACCCAAGGAGTCTGAATATTACATAGAAAACTATGGATACTAAGAACTCAGGAGCTGCAGGCCACTGAAGAACATGCTCAGCTTTGCCTAGAAGGTAGAACAAAGGAAGCAAAACTAGAGGCAGGGCAACCATTGAATAGGCTGCTACAGAAATCTAGGCAATAAGAGTTAAAAGCTCATATAAACAATATTTAATAAATACTTGATGTTAGGGTGTAAACAAGTCTGGATGGCGCCTGGAGATTCCTTATTGGTTGACTGCTGTGTCTAGTTTATGTTAATTAGATAAGCTGTGTGGAATGTATAAATACCCCTCCTGTCCTACAATAAACGRCTCCCACTCCTGCTRTATCAATCTACACAAGTTGCTCGTCACCCCCCGGTTATTTTGCTGCAACTGGACTGCGGCAACTTGAAATATTTTAAAATGTATTTAGATACCTCATAACAAGAGCTTATAAGCCACTGTGGTATTTTCCCTTAGTTCTAAGACAATGTTCAAATCACATGTTCAGGCAAATATTTCTATGCTTCCTCTGGGTAAAAGTGGAAATATGGAAGTTTTCACCTAGGGGCACAAATCTCAATCACCTGAAGAAATTTTGGAAAAGACACAGTGCTGAAYTTGGCTTCTAGAAAATTTGAACAAAGGTTTGGAGTAAGGCCTGGCATTATATTTTTTAAATGTACCTCTAATGATTCTGCATATACTTCCATGTGGAACCATTGGTTTATTGGGACAATGGCTTTGAATATATGATTGAGGCTATTCTAGAAAATCTGAGATGCTATGGACATCACACAAATCTATACTTTCCTAAATCAGTGGTGGGAAAGGAATGGAATGAATTAATGCACATGTCTTATATATCAACCCCATTTAACTTAGAACTTTATCATATCCAACTAGCTCATGTATCATTTTGAATTAGTACTTCATATATTCTGGACAGTTGTCCCTCATCAGACTCATGAAGTATCAGTATTTCCCTTTGGAACTGTTTTGGGGATCCTTGTTGAAATGACCATAAGTGTAACAAGTTAATTTTGGACACTGAATTCTATTTCATTAATTTGTATGTCTATTCTTATGCCAATGCCACACTGTTTTGATTACTATAGTTGTAGTAAGCTTTCAAATCAGAAAGTATGAGTGATCTAACTTTGTTCTTCTCTTTTAAGATTGTTTTGGCTATTTGGGTTCCATTACATTTCCTCTGCGATCAACTTGTCAGTTTATTCAAAAAAGCTAATTGGGATTTTTGACAGACACAGCATTAAATCTGTAATAAGAACTATCATTTCAACAAGATTATATCTTCTGATCAACACATGGGATGTCTCTACCTTTAATAAAAAAAACTCTAATTTTTWAAAAATTTGTTCTAGTTAGTTATATATGTCAGTAAAATGCATTTTGACACAAYATACATAAATGGAAGATAATTTCTAATTCTTCTGATTGT